ATATTTTTCTATTTAAAATAATAAAAACTAAGCTAAAAGAAACTAAAAAAAAAACATTTATTTAAAAAATAAACAAAAATTAAATAAAAAAATAAAAAAATCTCCGCTGCCCCACGACTCGGACTCGAACTCGGTTCTCTCAATTGGCGTCTAGTGCTTTGCACACTCGGCCATTGCACCTGATGCGGCAGCGCGAGAAAATGACATACATAAATGTCTGTTGTTTCCTTTGCACTAACTGATTTCGAATCAGCGTTCGAAGTTCACTCGGATTCAGTGATAGCAATTTTTCGTATTCGCAGCGGGCATTTGAATTCGTAGATTTTCTACGATGGATTCCGTGATAGCCCTGATAATCTATGAAAAAATTGTCAAAGGGTGTATTTAAAATTTTAAAACAACGAAAAGGAGCAAAAGTCGGAGGATTTTTAAGAAAACTTTCAAAATAGGCCTATTTTTAAAAAGTCGGTGCCAGGGGGCATCGATCTCCAAAAAGTGTCAATTTGACACTTTAGTCGCACAACGGTAACACTAGTGGGATGATGGCGAGGGGGGGGGGGGGGGGCGAAAGCAAATTCATCGTACATATGTATGTATGTACATAAATATGTACATCAGTCATGTCCAACGCTGGCAGAATTCCATAAGCAAGTGCCCACAATGGTTCGGATCGCAAATCTAGCTGGACGAAACTATCTAAACAAATACTCTTTGATGGATTTTTAAACCACTTTTTATCTAGGGGCTTTTGGGTCGCTGATTACGAATCTGAAGCCACTTATCAAAAATTCAAAATGGCGGATCCCATATGGCGGACGAAAATTTAAAAAAATCGACAATTTCTATGAAACTTGATATCTGGGGGTTTCTGGGTCACTGAATACGAATCCAAAGTAATTTACCACAAATTCAAAATGGCGGATCCAACATGGAAAACGAAATATTTAAAAAATCTTAACCCTTCACATATGAAAATGTTTTGTTCAGAGAGTATTCTTAAAACGATTACAAATTTGTTAAAAGTTTAATAAAAATAATTCGCTTTATATTTTGATTTTTATTTTCAGTTCACAATAACAATGACTTAGTATATTTTGAAATAATTTTATATAACAGCTAATTCTCTAATAAAAATAGTCCGTATAATAACTATGCGACACCCACATATTGACGAGTTTTGACTATTTATTTTATTATTATTTAATCTTAATTACTTTTTTCATAAAAATGTAGTTTGTTCGTTATCAAAGAAATTGTGCAAATCCAGGTTTCAAACTTTGTGCAATATTTGAAAAAAAAGAAACTCAACAAACTTTCGCAAAAATTTCGATGTCTTTAATTACGTTACTTAGAAAGATATTGAGTATGCAGTTTCCTAGCCCATACAACTTTAGTAAAATTAAGTGCAAGTTTAAAGTACCTAGGGGTTTTTTTTGTTGTTGAAGGTGTTGCTCATATTCTCCATATAAAAAAATCATCGAACATACTTCGTATGGAAGAAAATGACTGACATCGTCAACAAAAAAATTGCCAAAAATCAACGAAAAGCCCTAGGTACTTCAAACTTGCACTTTATTTTATTGAAATTGAATGGGCTACAAAACTGAATACTCAATATCTTTCTAAGAAACCTAATAAAAAACATCGACATTTTTGCGAAAGTTTGCTGGTTTTTTTTTTCAAATATTGCACAAAGTTTTAAACTTGTATTGATATGGTTTTTGTTAAAGACTAAAATTTAAGAACACAGCAAGAAACACAAATAAATTTCAGAAAAAAAAAATGTAAAACAGCGTTTAAAGATTAGCATGCCTGTTGTGTCATTTTTTAATATCAGAAATCAGAAAATTTGCGAGTTACGATTTTTTTTAACTCTTACATAACCAAAGTTTTGACAACTCCAAGTAGTTTTCTGTTTTAACACCGATCCACCCCCACCCCCATCAC